CTCTCTCTCTCTCTCTCTCTCTCTCTCTCTCTCTCTCTCTTTCATCCTAATTCAGGTAATGTGCTAACATTGCAACAAGTTTGGAGGGAGTCACATCTCTCACAATGGCCTGAAAAATCAATCATCATGTTTATGAACATGAGGATCCTGATAATTAACTTCTTTCGTCAACTTGGCTAAGCTCTGGAACACATCTGTTTGGTCAAACACTAGTCTAGATGCTGTTGTGAAGGCATTTTAAAGATGTGATTAACATTTACAACCAGTTGACTTTAAATAAAAGCAGATTATCTCTTATAATATGGACGTGCCTCAGTCACTTGAAGGCCTGAAGAGCAAAGATGCATTTCCTGAATAAGAAGGAATCCCACTTCCAGACTATAACATAGAGATCTTAGTTGAGTTCCAGCCTGCTGACCTGCCTTGCACATTTTAGATTCAACACTATAGCATCAACTTTTTCCAGAATTTTCAGCTTGTCAGCCTGTACTATAGAATCTAGACTTAACCAGTCCACACAATCAGAGTCAGTTCCTTTAGGAAAAAAAAAATCTTGAAATATAAATGAAATACATAGAGGTACTTATACAGTAGATACAGATTGGTTTTCATTCTCCAGAGAATCCTGGCTAGGCAAACACCTTAGCACATTCAATAATTTCTTCATACCCAATTCATAGCCAAATTTTCCAGATTTCCATTCAGTATCCAAGTCAGTGTCCACTCCAGGAGTATGCATTGCCATGTTCCTCCCTGCTTGTAATCTAGAGTAACATGTTTTTTATGATACCAACTACATCAATAGATTTTACCAGTTGTTCTGGAAAATTTCCATATCCTAGAAGAATAATTAGTTTCTGAAGATGAACTTCTGTGGCTTCTGAAAGTTAGATCTAAAGTCTTCATTAGATTTAAGTTCAACCATCTGGGCAAGAAATTGATCATGATTAACTTTTAAAATTTGCATTGTCTCCTCTCAGGAGACACAGAAAGCTTATATCCTGTCATTAGGCACCACGGGTTGGCATAGTGTCTGAATAATCTTTTTTAGGGAAGTTACATTTTTTCCTCTTACAATCAGAACATAGTATATGTGGTATCATAGTGCCAGTTTTTTTTATGATTTCCAACAGATTTTTTATTATTATTTGTTCATTTTTAGACTCACATGATAGTAGACTGCATTTTGGCATGTTACACATACATGGAATGTAACTTATTCTAATTTGGACCCCATTCTTGTGGTTGTGCATGATGTGGTATTACCCTGATCATGTTCATATACAAGAATAAGAAGTTTATTTCTTATTAATTCCACTGTCTTTCCTATTCCACTCTCTGTCTCTTCCCTTCATTTCCCTTTGTCTAATCCAATTGACTTCTATTCTTCTCCTCCTTACTTTCCTTCCTCTCCTTCCTCTCCTTCCCCTCCTTCCCCTCTGTTGTTGGGGGTTACCATCCACATATCAGAGAAAACATTCTGCCTTTGGTTTGGGGGGATTGGCTTGTTTTACTTAGCATGATATTCTCCAGTTCTATCCATTTACCAGCAAATGCTTTAAATTCATTCTTCTTTATGGGTGTTATTCCATTGTGTATATATACCACATTTTCTTTATCTATTCATCTGTTGAAGGAAACCCAGGTTGTTTCCATAGTTTAGCTATTGTGAATTGAGTTGCTATAAACAACGATGTGGCTGTGTCACTATAATATGCTGATTTTAACTCCTTTGCGTATAAACTGAGAAGTGGGATAAGAATGTCATATTTCTTTTCCTACTTCTATCACTGTTGGCATATTTATTAGCTTGACTTTAAACTTAGATGCTCTGATTGTCTGATATATTTCAATCTGTAGGAAGTATGGTCATTAGTATTTTATTTAGTGATAGTATGTTTAGGTTTACAAACTTACTTATTTTCTCAATTAACATTCCATCTAGAATATCAGATCTTTATCCTAAAATACGGCTGCAGATAGGTACCACATAGGCCCTCAGGAAAAACTGCCTTGTACGGAAGATCATACTCTCACTGTTCTGTTTTCAGATTATGACTTAGCCTTTCATTTTTACATGGGGAGAGTGAAAAGACTCACTTGTATTACCCTTACCATTTGTAAGCAACCCAGCAACACAATGTAAATTAAGTTGCATTAATTTTATGTACATTTTAATTATTTTTGTATGCAATGATTTGCTGAAGTATCTAAATATGACATACTAATGGTAACCAAAACTAACTTAATAATTTGGTTAAAAATTACTTGAATATTGCAATCTTAAAGTACATTGGTAGAAATTATTTTCATCCATATTTACAATTGTATAAATAGTAATATCTTATTTACCATAATATGTTTCCTGGTATTTTATTAGCTTTTTCACCCTCTCTTTCTTCCTTTGCAATTATAAATGGGAAGAGTTATTTTTGGGAAATTTAACTATTGAGAAAAAAATTTAAACTATGTACAGTAAGGAAAAATGGTCTTTCAGCAGCTCAATCTATATTGGGTCTTCAAAAGTTTACTCTTAATTGCTTTCCTCTTGTGGCTCTATCTATCTAAACATTTTAAGAAAAAAAACAGCTTTATAGAAAACAAATTCTGTAGGTTGTGGGAACACACCCAATGTACCCTTACTGTGGGAGATCCTAAGGACATAAATCATTCTGTCTTTCTTTTTGCTTTACCCTTGAAATTAAAATCTAGCCATGGTTTGCTTTTATCTTACAGAAAGAAATTGAGATATTTTTATATTTTAGTTATTTTTCAGTTCTGCCATGTGAGTAAAAAAACTGGTCCTTTGGCTATAAAAGAATTAGGGCTTGTGAGAAGAGAGTCAGCGTCCTCACCATCTATGGAATTAATTACAAGCAATATAAAAGGAAGCAGTGTCAGAATTTGGACTCTGTTATATTAATAATCTAGAAATAAATTTTAAGTAACACTGATTTCCTTTTAGTTTTTTTTTTTTTTTCAAAATGGGATTCACCAAAATCCACTGGAGATTTATTTCATTTTTATTTGATATGACCAAAGTATCTGCAATCTTAAATGTGTTCTTTTTATCAAAAGAATCAAAGTCATGCACTTTTGAGCAGATGTATTTAAAGAATGGCAGTTTCCCCTTTGCTAGAACAATATTCCCCTCTCAGTAACTGATGTTCAACAGAAGACTAATGAAGGTATTACAGTAGAAATTAGCCTCTACATTACCTCCTGGGTTTGGTTGCCCTTCTGAGACTCTCAATCTGCCCTCTGCCCTTCAACTGGCTCCCTGGAGAAAGCTGGAAACAGGTGCTGGGGATCTTGTCATTAATTCAGATCAGCAATCTTAGTTAATGAAGTGGAAGTTTCTTAACCCAGTCTTTAAAGGCAAAGTTGATGAGGCCAAAATGATTAAAATATAATAACCCTTTCTTTCCATCTCTTAAGTCAATTTTATTATTCCTAATTATGGTCCTTAAGTTTTCTTAGGTTTAAGTCTTTGAATAAATAAGTAAACGTGGCCAATATAACAGGGAGGGGCTGTGTTTTAGTCAGTCTTTTACCACCATGACCAAAAGACCCGCCACGAGCAATTTTAAATGAGGAAAATTTTATCTGGGGCTCATGATTTCAGAGGTTTAAATCCATAGATGGCCCTCTCCAATGTTCTGGGCCTAAGGTGAGGCAGAATATCACAGTGAAGAGTATGGTGGAGGAAAGCTGCTCAGACAGTGTTATCAGGAAGCAGAGAGAAAGAAAGCCTTCTCTCAACAAGGACAAAATATATATGCCCAATGACCCACCTCCTCCAGCCACACCCTACCTGCCTTCAGTTATCACCCTGTTAACCATTCTTATCAGGGGATTAAGGCACTGATTAGGATAAAACTCTCATAAGCCAATCATTTCTCCTCTAAACTTTCATGCCTTATCTTACACATGAGCTTTGAGGGATATCTCATATCTAAACAGGGCAGGAGAAGATTCCTCTTAATTTACTTTTATGTAGAATATCGTGAAATCAGTATATTCCAACAAATATTCCACATACTAAGGGTGTAACTAGATGGCGGTAGAAAGGAAAAAAGCTGTTATAAAGCAAAAATATATCAGAAATACTGAATTTATTAGAGATTTCTTTTGTGGTAGAACTTTACAGTCTGTTCAATATAATTTGTATTATTACAAATTAAGGAGATGAATATATTATGCATATCACATACAAACTCTTTATATCACATATAAACTCTTTTTTTTAAAAAAAATCTTGAACACTATTTAGTAAGAGAATTTTACGAGACTTAAGAAAATCTTGAATTGTCTTTTTTCAGGTTTCTGCAACACTATTGTCCAATACATGTATTTTTAACTCTTTCTTTCTTTAAAATGTTTTCTCTCTTGACTATTTTTCTGTGAATGCCACATTTAAGGTTGGAGACCTTTCAATTTCCATGTTTCCCTTGGTGTTAAGACAAACTCTTTCTGATATGTGTGATGTTTGTTAGGCTGAAGTGTCCACTTTATTTTTCCAAACTATTTTTCAATATTTGTATCATTCTTTTTGAAAGCAAAAAAATGATAGGAATTTTTTTCTCTACTATTTAATGAAATACTCTGAGATCTCTTTGAATGGTAACCCAGCGGTCTATATTTAAAATGGAAATCAGCCTCACTTACTCAAGACACCACCTTGGTTAAAATACAGTAATATACTGAAACATGGAACCTAACTGTTATCTTCTGAAAAAACAGTCTATGAAATGAATCATATATACTGTGAATAGCACCCCTAGGGTCATGTAGTGCATCACCTGTGCTTCTCTACAGAGTGCCTCTGAACAAAATCAAGAGCAGTTTAAAAGTGCACAATATTACACCATTTGTCATAGGAAAGCCCACAGTCTCTTCTGGTGTGGGAGGCTAAATGACAAAAGAATAAACAAACTGATTTTTCAAATTTATCATTTTTAGTTTCTGCATTTATCTTTACCAATCAATTTCTTCCTCCTTTGATCACAAATTAATAAACCATAGAGTATACAATTCCTTTACCTGTTGATTTGTACCATCTGAATTTTTTCCACAAGCACTCTTACTCTGGAGTCTAGTAACATAAGGGTAAAATGCTATTACCAGCTTTTCTTAATGGCACCTT